CCCCAAAACCCCAAAACCCCAAAACCCCATGATCAATCACAAGATTGAACTCCAATGTTTAAAATATAGAATGATTTACTGAAGCTTCATTTTTATGACAAATCTGCTTATTGTTAGATGATTTTAACATATCTAGTATTCAGATTATGGTCAAGATTCTGAGTTATTGAAAGAAGTATAGATTAAACAGATGCCAATTATTTCCTTTGAATGAGAAGATAATCAAAATTATCAAATAACTTTATATTATCGATTATTAACCTTGTGCCTCTCATTTTCAACCACTTCACCTTGGTCAAGTATGAGGACTCGGTCGCTGTTTATGATGGTGTTCAGTCTGTGAGCGATGGTCAACACAGTTGAGTCTGTGAATTGAGTGGTGATTAGATTCTGGATCGTCTGCTCAGTTTTGATGTCGATGTTGGCAGTGGCTTCATCCATCAAAACAACTTTGCTTTTGCGAAGAATGGCTCTTCAGATACAAAGCAGCTGCTTCTGGCCTGAACTGAGATTGGTTCCAGCTTCTTCAATGTTCTGGTCAAGCCCTTTGGCGTCTCGCTCGACAAGTTTATCAAGAGACGCCTGAGACACAAGGTCAAGCAGCTCTGAGTCTGAATGGATCCCTTCAGGATCAAGGTTGAACCTGAGAGTGCCATTGAACAGAGTGGGGTCTTGAGGTATGATTGTGATGTTATTTCTGAGGTCTTCAAGACTCAGTTTTGAAATATCTTGACCATCAATGATGATGGAGCCTTGATAAGCTTCAATGATTCTGCATAGTGCCAGACAAAGCGTAGACTTACCGGCACCAGTTCTGCCTATGACTCCGACTTTCTCTCCATTCTTAATTGAAAAACAAAGACTCTTGAGCACGAGAGGAGTAGAAGGGCGATATTTGAGACTGAAGTTGTTGAATTGGATGTTTCCACATCGTGGCCATGATGAGGGTACCGTTTCAGACCCATTGGATTTCTCTTGAGGGATTTCAAGAAGCTTAGTTCACCGCTCATAAGAGACTAAATCAGCTTCCAACTCAGTAGTCATTAAAGTCCCTTGAATGATTTCTCCATTCATTCCCAACATGTGCACTAAGAAGACCCCTACCAGTACTGGATCAACCTGATTTCTAAAATATACCTATAAATAGCTTGATATATGCTTACCATCAGAGCAAGTCCAAGGATGATGATTAATCTTCAGGCTAATTCTAACCTGATAATGAACCATCTTCTCATTGCGCCTGACCAGAAGTTAGCATTCACGTAATTGTTGATTAAATTATTGGTGTTGGGATAATTATTGAAGCTACGAATAGTACTGCTTCCCGCAAGAGTTTCAGATAACTGGGATAGTAGAGGAGACAAAGTGGTGCTGGTTAGTCTTTTTAAATCTCTATATGGCTTCAGGAAAAAGACTGTTAATCAATAGCAAATTAGGAGTGTCACTGGAACAATTGTCGCTGACCATGGCATTGCAAAGATTGCAATGAACAAGTTGTACAAGAATGATACATATCAATCAGTTATCCACATGAGGCGCCTAAATTTAGAATTTAAACTTACTGAGCAACTTGTGTATCAACTTTATCTATATCCTTAGAGAACCGATTTAAGATCCTTCCGGTTGGAGTTTTATCAAAATACAGGTTGATGGGGGCATTGCCAACCATATTAGTCATTTTCTCATAAAGAAGTTTGCTTGATCTGAGAACAGAAATTGTGATCACTCCTGAAATCATTGAGATCATCAAAGAATAAGCTATTGGATAAAAGACAACAATGAAGAAGTTTCTACTGTATTCTAGACCATTATAACTCTCTTCGATCCAATAGCCAAATGTTATTGTATGATTCACAATGAAATAAGCGTAAATTGCAAATAAAGGGAAAGTGGCAATATAGAACAGCCATAGCTTATTCGAAAAGAAAAAGGTAAAGTAGACTCTCCATCCAACATCTATCTTTTCGTCATTTTCCTCATCTGTAACTCTGGTTCCTTGCTCGCTTATGAATGACTTTTCTTGGTTTTCTTCTTCTAAAATGTTATTATCCTCCATATTTTCCAGTTGTTTCTCTTCTTCCTTTGGCTTATTTTCTTTTGTTTTATGAGCAAGAGCTTCTATTATATGTTTTATCTCCCCCTGGTGCTCAAGTTCTTCATATGTTCCTCAATATTTTATCTTTCCAGCTTCCATTACAATAATTCGATCTACTCAATCAATGAAATCTATTGCATGGGTCACAAGCACTCTGGTCTTATATTTAAGTTTGTTTAAAAACACTTCTTTAAGCTTCTTCTTCACATTAGCATCAAGTGCACTCACAGGATCATCCATTAGGAGAATATCTCTATCTGCGTAGATTGCTCTTGCTAGGCTCACTCTAGCTTTTTGACCTCCACTGAGATTGATACCTTTCTCTCCAATTTCTGTAAGATCTCCTCCAGGAAGTGCCTCAAGGTCAGGGCCTAGCTCTCACATCTCAATTACTTCATTATACTTGGCTTCGTCCATCTGAAGGCCGAACAGAATATTTTCCCGAATAGATTTGTTCTGAATCCAAGGAACTTGTTGAGCATAGCTTATGGATCCTCCAAGCTTAATTATAGATTGTTCCACTGATGCCTTCTGCAACAGCTCTTTCCTAAGTTCATCATCTAGTGTTCTATCTTGATTAGCATCGATAGTTTCTGTGCTCAAATAGAGCATATCTCCGAGAATAGCACTAAGTAAAGAGGATTTGCCAGATCCGACCTCACCAATAACTCATACAAATTCTCCTTCCTGGATCTGGAGGTTGATATCTTGAAGTTCAATACTATCAATTAGCTTCTTTTCTTGATGCTCACTTTGTGAAGAATCAGAAGTTGTGGTGCCTTCTTCAATATCATCTGTATCCAAAGATTGATATTCATCATTGATGGTGAACGGTTTGTGTGAAGACTTATGTTTCTATAGAAGTGTTGTAGGTTAGGAGAGTATGATAACTTAGTTGCTAAAGATTTTCTAATCTTACTTTGACCTCTTCTTGAGCATCTATAGAAAAGTTAACATTAGTTGAGGGTTTTCAATGTATAGTCAAGACCAAGAGGAGAAAACTTTTAGGGATTATATACCTTCATTATCATTATTATCCTTGCCTTTTTCATCTGTTTCCTTAACTTTTCCACCACCCCAAGTGAAATTGGCTCCTTCTATCATTATAGAGATTTCATTCTTCTTTCAGAATTCATTATCCATTTCTACTATTTTAGGATTTAGTTCGTCTCATTTCAGAAATTTTTCAATTCTGTTCATCGAAACCAAAAATTCGACACATGTGCCAATGAACTGTGGGATCCACTTAATAGGCTCTTCAAGTGTGTAGAATATATTCCCTGCAGCAAATGCTTGTGCTAGAACAATCTTATTGCCAAGAAGGAAGAACAAGAAGAAAGTTATGATCATAAAGATAGGTGATGTCACAAAGGCTAAGAAAGTTTCGATAATATTCACAAGCAGCCCTTTTCTTATAGAGTATACTTCCTTATTTCTCAGTTTTAAGGTTTTATCAATAAACAGCTTTACCCAAGAGTTAAGCTTTAGGACCTTGATGTTGTTTACAAATTCAGTAGTAGTGTTCATTCTTTCATCTTTTCTTTCTAGAACTTCTTTTTGAATTCTTGAACTCCAAATTGCAATGTAATAGTTCAAAATAAAAAGAGCCGCTCCGACTCCAATGGCTGGAAATAAGAACCATCCAAAATAATACAGAAGAAAGATGGTTCCGAAGAGAAGCTGAATAGGAAGTCGTGCTACTGGAGGAAGACCCCAGGCAATTCCAAAGACTTTGTCAGCATCTACTTGGATAAAGTTGATAATTTCTCCTTGCTTAAAATCTTTGTTTGTTGATGGAGTAATTTTTAGAATTTTCTCATATAGATTAGAAACTAACCCAGAATATGCACTATCTCCAAGGACACATTGTAAGAATGCAGAATATTCTTCAAGAAGGAAGGATAGCCAACTTACAACAATGAAGCCAACTATAAGCCCTATCCCGATCCAGATATTATCATCTTCTTCAGGAGTTGTTGACATAAAGTTGATAATTCCCATTATCAGAAAGGGAATGGAAATATGAAGTCATACCACAATAAAATTAATGAAGAAGGCAAACAGAAAATCCTTCATATGTGTCTTTGCAAGAGTTTTGATTATTGCATATTTGCCACTCCCTTTATACTTCTCCCAGTTATCTTTAAACCTCTTTCCTTGATATATTGAGCAATTCTTCTTCCATATTTTTCCAAAATTTTCGATTTTAAAATCATTTTTCCTTCCATACTAGATAAAAGTTCTAATGTTTTCTGATATTGAGGCACCAAATTTTATGATAGAGTTTTTAATGCTTCCATAACAAATTTTAGGAAAACACATAAACTTTCAAATGATCCAAACAATAATAAGCCTATCTTAATTTTCAAACACTCCAAAACACCAAATCAGGGAAACATCCTAATTTTTCTTACCTTCAACACCTTATAAGGCCAGCTGAACAAAATTTTCCCAAAGACCCCTGCCTCATCCAAGGGGTGTTCCTTAAAAATTGACTCGGGATGTTCCCACTCTTGTCCTTCCTCTCCCTCTTGAACGAGGGGTTGCCTCTGTTGGTCGGGCTGATTTTCCAAAATATCCATTGGAAGTTTTCTAAGTTAAGTTTATTAAGGATCTTGAGGCTAAAAGTCTTTTGAAATGAAATTAGCCAATTAGATTGGGTCTGGGGTTCATTTTCGAAGAAGGATTTTGGGGTTTTGGGGTTTTGGGGTTTTGGGGTTTTGGGGTTTTGGGG